GCACGGGCCAGGCGGCGCCGAGGGCCGCGCACCTACCTGCAGGTCGGGAGAGACGTGGTCTGCGGACGTGGACGCGGAGTCCGAGGACACGACCGAGGCGGGCTTGGCGTGCGCGGAGTTCTCGGAGTGCGAGGTGGACGCGCTGCACAGCACGAAGGCCTGGTTACTCCGGGCAGCGGCGGCGGCAGCAGTTCCCGACACCGGGCCAGGGCCGCCCTCCGTCCCACAGGCTCGCACGCCGGCCGGCGAGGCCGCCCCGACTACCCGGGACGCCCCGGAAGACAGCCAGAGGCAGTGCTGCTGACCAACGCGGGCTGCTGGGCCGGGGTCACGGGACGAGGGTCCCGAGCATGAGCTGCCCGCGCAGCCAGAGAGCGGAACAGCCGGATGGACGGCGCCCGGTCACCGCCCACACTGCCGCCGGGGCTCTCTGGCGCCACACGGTGGCCCCAGTGAGGGACTCTTGGCTGCCCACAGGCTCCCGCCCGCCAGCGTGGCCTCATGGGGGCGGAGATTTCCCTGCCCGCGGGCACGCCACCCTCCTGCCCCCCTCCGCCCGCGGGCCAGAGGCCTCGCGCCACAGGCCTCTGGCCAAACCCGCAGCCCGCGCCGCCCGCCGGCCTCTGTCCACGTTCCAGCCAAAGGCCGCCCGCGCCTCATCCCCCCAGCGGGCGTCCCTGGCTGTTGGAGGGGCCGCGTGGGGCCCCCACTGTGGACAGGTGCCTCTGCCCGCTGGCCACACTCCAGCCACGGCGACGGTGCCGCTGAGCCGGAGGCCCCAGCCGGCCGCCCCCGCTGGCCACGTCAGACGCAACCACTCGCCTCGCCGCCGCGTCTCCCGCTGCACCCACGGAGACGAGCCCCTCGAGCACGCTTCCCGGAGGGCCAGGCCCGGCGCAGGCCCCCCAGCGCGGCGCTCACACAGCCCAGGGTGGCGCACTCGGCACCCACTCGGCTGAAAAGCGCGTTAAAGAAATAATAAAGGCTGCAGTGTGCGCCGCCGGCACAAGAGGCCTATTGTCAGGCCCGCGGGAGCGCGAGCACGGCCCCACCCCAAGCCAAGGCGGCCGCCCCACGTTCCTCCCCCGGGGAGCAGCGGGCAGCGCGCGCCACCCCTTCCCACTGCGCCCCGAGCCTTCGGAGCAGCACCCCTCTCGCCTGAGGGAGAGCCCGCGGCCGCGGTTCACGCGGGACAGGCAGCAGCGCCCTCAGGCCCGCTTCGAGCGTCCACGCCGCGTGGAACCTGCTACCCCAGGGCAAAGGCGCCGCGGGC